AACAATATGGTTTGTGTTATGTTGTGGTTTGTACTTTTGTTGTTTGCATACTTCTCTTGTTATACAGTAAAAGTTTATTTCTTTTATATTCTTAGTAAAGGGAGACTGTTATGCAAATGCCTGCAGACTGTCAGTTAGCAGCACATAACAGTAACACTAAGAAGCAGCTGGGCAGTGCAATGTTTCTCATACTCATGCACTTCCTGGTCTTCCATGACGGTTCACCAACGGCACATTAAAAGTTGAAACTCACCGACTTGGAGGACCAAGACCAGCCAGGAGACCAGGCTGGATGTCATCTCTGGATGGCGATTGGCTGGTGGTTCTGTTCTGACCCGGGTTGGGCTTGTTTTTTAGATCAAGTAAAAATGATCTTATTCTCAGCACAGCAGCAGATGTAAGAAATGGAAACCAACTTCTACAGGCACGAAGAAAACCACTGTGACCAAGACTGCAGGATGTGACGCAGTAAGTCAACCTTCAGCTAGGTGGCACATATCTGTTTTTTTCCTCTTTTTCTATTTTCTTTCTTTTATATCTTTTTTCAGTATAACTTTATAATCCTTATTTATTATATATTTATTATATTAATATCACTGCAAATTATTCTCTGACTGTATACCTTTTATGTGATAAATAAAAATCCTCCTTGTATCCTTGGAGAGTGATGGTAACATCTCACTTACCTTCCAGGAAAACCCAAATGTTATCAGTGAGGTACAGAAGTCATAAGGGTTTTGTCCGCAGGCCTTTGTTGTGGCTTATAGCACATGAGGGATTAATTCAGTGTCGGGGGTGACTGGAGCCCTTCATGATGCTGGCTGCCTTTCTCAGGCAGCGTGTGGTGGTAATGTCCTGAAGTGAAGGCAGATGTGCCCCGGTGATGGCTTGGGTGGTCTTCACTGCCTTCTGCAGTGCTCTGAGGTGCCAAGCTGAGCAGTTTCTACACCGTGATACATTTTGCCAAGTAAAGATGGATTCTGTAATGCTTCTTTCGAAGAAGGTGGGGACTGCTGGCATCATCTGGACCTTGCCCATGAGTCTGAGGATATAGAGACTCCGGTGTGCCATGCCCTGCTCACTCTGTCCATCTCATCCTCCTGTCTTCCCATTCCCCTATTGGCTCGACAGAATGACCGGTCTCCTATTGGCTGTCTTCACATTCCTCCAAGGATCTACCTGTGGATGTTTTCTCTCCTGCATCTGAATACCCTTCTGCTCCAACCCAGAATATGTTGGCGTCAGTGCGCTTTGCCCTTCTTGATTTACTTCGGGACCTCTCTGAAGATCCCGTCGCACAGGCGTTTCCTGAGGCTGTTGCCTTGCTTCTCCATGCAGGGCAGGAGTTGGTGACTGTCTCCCCGACTTCAGATCCCCAGGAGCTGGAAAGGATCCTTGAGAAACTGATACAGGTACAACACCTCCAGAGGGGAGTAGCATTATTTCTGAAAAATACCTCACACATGAGACAGCTGTGCCTGATAGGAACTTGTCGTATTCGGTAGTCTACTATCATTTCTCTTGTTTTACTGACATTGTAGAGACAGGTTATTATCCAGACACCAGGTGTACAGTGCCATCACCTCCTCTCTATAGGCCGTCTCGTCGTCGTCCATAATGAGGCCTATGATGGTTGTGTCATCCGCAAATTTGATGATGATGTCATGACAGGAGGGGGCTAAGCACACATCCCTGTGGCGTTCCTGTGTTTAAGATGAGTGATGAGGATGTGTGTTCACCAACTCTCACCACCTGCGGCCTGTTTGTGAGGAAGTTGAGAATCCACCTGCACATGGATGGTCCCAGCCAAAGGTCGACGAGCTTCGAGGCAAGTTTTGAGGGGATGGTGGTGTTGAATGCCGAGCTGTAATCGATGAAGAACATTCTTGCATATGTATTCTTGCATTGCATATGAATGCATTATTATTAGTTATGAATATGTTTATAAATTACTAAAGACATGCCCTTAAGTAAAAGATTACCGAAGTGTTTTAATAGTATTCCCAACATGGCAGGAGTCCAACATGAAAGTCATCATCACCTGCAAAAAAAAATGGCAGCAATAAGTGATACTGGGGCTCTGTGTTGCAGAATCACTATCTATAAATAAATCAGGAATAACATTCTTACTGGAGACCTGATGGTACTTTTTGCTACTGGGTTGAAACGGGCAGTGACTGACAGTGCATGATAAATCCACCCTTGATGATATTTGGCCCCATTTCAAATAATATGCCACTGAGACCAGCCTGGACTCCCTCACAGCCAATCTAGCACTGTGACCTCACACTCCCAGGGTTGTGGGGTTTATTTCTATTTAGGGTTAGATATGAAATCCGTAAAATCTCTTCCCATGTTTGCATGGTTATCCTCTCAGGAAATCCAGAATTTTTGCATAGTCTGAATATACGAAGTAATGTGGACTGTAATATAAATAATGACCTCACACCAGAGCCTGCCCCTCCCTTTGACTAGTTTCAGAGTTAATCTGAAGTAAAAGTGAATTATATTCAGGATTAGTCCCTGTCTTGGCCAGCAGGTGTCTCCCAATGTTTCCCAGGTCTGTTCCTCTGCTTCCCAGTCTACTGTCTGGCTGAATGGCTTAAGCATGTAGCAATTAACCATGCATCTATTGTCGTGGGTTCAAGGCTACCCCAAATGATGTTTTAGTGATCAAGTTTTGTATTTTTCCCCCATGTTAATTATTGTTCTTGTATTGATCCTTGCTTTTGTTCTTTGTTTCTTTGTCATCCCTGCCTGTGTAAAGTTATGTAATTGTGTTCTGTTTCACCCTGTTCTCAGTCTCTCCTAGTGTGTGAAGTTGTTTGTTAATTATCAACACGTGCTCCTCCTGGCCCCTAGGCCCCTGTGTTTGTGGTTGAGTTGTAGTAGCCCGCACCTGTCCCTTGGTAGCCCCCATTATCTGTGTATTCATGTGCCTGCCCTCCACTTGTGCTTCAGTCTGTCATTGTGCTTGTTCCTCTGCTGCTTCCTGCTTTAGTTCTTTATTCCTACCTGCCTGTGTTTATACCTCTGCTGCTTCTTTTGCTTCTTGTTTTTTTTGTGACATCAGTACAGTCCATTGTTTCCCGTTAGCCACAACTTCCGTCACTCCTTGCTGGATTTATTAAATAATATTTTATTATACATTTTTTATTGTTTTACATTAAAACAAAACTCTATTTACAAGTGGAAAAAGGGAATCAGAGCAGTGAAAAATACCATCTATCGCATCATACGCTATTCCACAACATTACACATTTGTCACCTTTGTGTTTTCAAGTTAATTCTGAACAGTGGATGCCTGTTAAGCTTATTTATATTATTTTATAAACATTTTATCACAGTTACAGAAATTTTTTGTTGGCGCGCTTTAAGTTCCAGCTACACAGCAGCCATATGCTTTTGGAGATGGACAAGACAGTCAAGTCTAAAACAGAATTTACACATCTGGAGATATTAAGCGATTAAGGCTACTGGTTAGCCATAAACCCCGGGCCAACACAGACATACCTACTGGATCTGGACTCATACAGCCACTATCCCACAATGAGCAAAATCAGGAGAAAACAGTCCCAGCTTATAACTTCCATTTTCCGAAAACAGGGAATACTGCATTTTACTTTCCTTTCCAGAGCCACTGGATTACGCCCAAACCCCCATTCTGAGGGCGGATGTAGAAGGAACGATTTCCATTGTCTCGGGGTGCTGTGAATAACGATATTGACAGTTCTTATTTATTTAGCAGATACTTTAAGCCAAAGCAACATGCAAAGTGGGACAGATAGAACATAACAAGCATACAGCTGTCAAGAAGCCAAATAGGCATAAGATCTTCCAGTCTGAGTTCCCAGTGACTGCCCAGTAACAAAACACATAACAAAAAACAAATCAATAAGGAAACTATTCAAATTAAAAGACAAAGCGTAGTATTAAGAACATTCTGTGGACAGAGCAGACCAGCTGAGGCGTCATTGAGCAGGACACTGGTATAGGCTAGTATAAGTGGGAATCTGACGACTGGATGTAGTTTAGTAGCTCATTCCATTATCGAGGAATTTATTTTAATTGGCAAATTGGAGTCACAGCGAGGTCACATTCACCTTCCAGGAAACCCAACTGTGAACAGCACTGGCACTGAGGTACCAAAGCCATACAGGTTGTGTCTGCAGGCGTCTCTCACTGCATGGTGATTCAGTCAGATCCATGTGTGTAAACTGACAAACACTGTAGCTGAATATTATTCAGTTCAATTCAATTTATTTTGTATAGCACATTCTCACGACATTACATTGTCTCAGTGCACTTTACATTGTCCCTGCCCAAAGCCCACAGTGAGCCAGCCAGACGACAGTGACGTGGAAAAACTCCCTAGAAGGAAGAAACCTTGGGAGGAAGCAAAGGGGGGCCCGTCCTGCAGGGGGCGGCAGAGGAAGTCCAGGGAACTGCCCACCATCCAGAGGTTTAAGTCACATACAGAATATGAACCAAGATCATTCGCATATCTGAAAGCACAATAATTAAACTATAAAAACCGGTGCCCTCTTCCTTAAGCGTGCTTTTATATTTATTAATATCAATATAATACGGAAACATATAATATGAAAGAATAACCATGATACATCTTTCACATCATACAGGTTCTCAGAAACCTCCAAAAGATAAAAGGTTTCATCACAGCAGCACATTAATGTAGTCGTGGTTTAACTGACACCTAAATCTCACAATCGAGCTGCACAGCACATAAAGGTCAAAAACACACAAAAAAGCAAAAGAACAAAGAAAAAATTATCATACAAAAACAATAGGGATCCAATACTACTAGTGCTTGGACTAACAATATTATTATTATTATTATTATTAATAAGAAAATAATAATAAAAAAGCAAATATAACAAACGATTAGGGATCCAGCACCACTGCTACTTTGTACAGACAACAGGAAAGTAGCATGCTGAGGAGAGGTTAGCTGAGCTGAGTCTGTTTAGCCTCGAGCAAAGGAGATTAAGGGGGGACATGATCCAGGTATATAAGATTCTAACAGGTCTGGATGCTGTTCAGCCAAATATTCAATATTAGTTTAAATACTAGAATTTGTGACCATAAGTGAAAATTAGCGGGAGAACATTTTAAATTGGATTAGAGGAAGCACTTCTTTACACAGCGTGTAGTCAGAGTATGGAATAGTCTTCCTGCTAGTGTAGCACAAGCTAAAACCCTGGGTTCCTTTAAATCAGAGCTACATAAGATTTTAACAACTCTGAGCTATTAATTACGTTCTCCCCAAACGAACTTGATGGGCCGAATAGCCTCCTCTCATTTGTAAATTTCTAATGTTCTTATGTAACAATCACAGCAACTCACCTGCTTTTGATAAAAATAATCGTTGTCACAAATTATGAAAAGAGATCCCGGAATAGTCTTCAGTTTCTGCCTGCAATTGAGAAACAGACCTGTGTGTGAGAATTAACTGATAGAGATCAGAAAGAGAACCTACAAACACCACACTGACTGATTACCCATCTAAAAGTTATGGATATTCTATCAAAAGAGAAATAAAAACCACTGTGATTCATCAAACAGAATATTCAAGAAAATCTGTTTATTTAAAGTCTAAGCACCAGCAGTGTACTTATAATTTCATGGGAATTAAACACTCTTACCTCAGCAAGCAAACGAGCTCTGGGCCTGTTGCGCTTCCAAAAATAAATGCAGCAGATAAAAAGCAGAACTGCTACTACTGCTAGAGTTACTACTACTGGAAGAATCCATGTTTGTTTAGGATCTGAGGGAGGAGATCAGGGTCACAAGTAAGAAGGGCAGCAGCACATGCACATTCTCACAGCCTCTCTGCATGACTAAACAAGCATGAAATATATACAAAAACTTGTAATTTCTCAGCCCTGGAAAATCCCGGAGCTCACAGATCTCCCTGCAGGCTGGTTCTGTCGAGTGTGTCTCAAGCCAGGGGTCAAACTTGACGTCATAATAACTATCAAAGTTATCTCTAGCAAAATGTTTGTTGGCGTGATTCTTAATTTAATTCTGTTTTAAAAGCTTTTAATAATAGCACACACCAGGTCATCCAGCACAGACCGTTGTTTAAATGTCAATGGCTGACTGAGGGGGCAGGAGGTGCTTTGAAAAGAAAAACATGGTCAGTGTTTACAGGAAAGTATGAAACCTTGGCCTGAATTTGTCCGGTCGTCTCTCTTTGCTCAAAGATACAAGAAGCTGGTTACAGATACATCGTGGGGCTCATCTCCCAGCCCCCACCTCACCCCCCCAAAACAAAACATTCATTCCATCCCTGAGTTTCACAGCCTATGGAATCAGATTTGTGCCAATATTATCAAGCAAAACTTTTTTGACATCAAACAAAAACAAGGCTTTGAGAAGAAAAAACTGAAGCAAAGGAAATGTCACCTCAAAAGTAAAATTTATAACATGCAAATACATGATTGGTCTTTTGGTAATGTTTTCCTTTGTTTATGCTGCCAGCTTCCTCGCTTGCGCTCACTGACTTTTTGTTTACAATTCTGACTCAAACTACTCACGTGGTCGGGTTTTTTTAGGGACGCATCCCCATCGGCTAATAAGGTTTTGACTGACAGGTCAGTGCGACAGACATTTTTAATTAACAGCGGGACTGTACATTCACTACCCACTAACTAATTTTTACTGGATCCGACAACAAGATTAACAAAGTGTAAGTGTTGATATTGTCTGTGCTACACTATACATTTTATTGTGCTAAATTAGAAGTGAAGTTAAGCTTTGCTATGTAATTTAGCCTTTACCTAGCTAACTTGCTAACTTTAATTAGGTATAAGGACTGCTAGTTAAGTAGACTTAGTTATACTGTGTGTGTGTGTGTGTGTGTAGGGCTGGGCGATATGGCAAAATGTTATATTATGTTAATTTTTCCATAGCAAATTATCCCTATATAAATTCAACATTGGAGGACATACTGAAGAATTATGGTGACGATTCAGCTAAAACATCTGTTAAATTCACCTGGTAAACCTGATATATTGTAAAGTCTGACAGAGAAAGACGAAGTGGAGTCATTATACAAGTGTCATACCTGTAAAAATCACCCGCAGTGTTTTTTCATGGATCCCTACGTAGTTATTTGCCCTGCAGGTATATTTTCCCTCATCATCTGTCTCGGAGATGGTGTAAATGCCGTCCTGTGTTGGTAATCGCTGGCCATTGAAGATCCAAACAATATCCGGGGGGGGATTCCCTTTAGCGCTGCAGTTTAACACATCAGACTTACCACGGATTACGTGAAGTTCTGTAGCTATTGGGGTGATAGTGGGTTTATCTAGTAAAGAGAAGGGAACCCAGTATTACTGACAGTATAGCTACAAAATCTCAGGCAATGTAAATCCCCAGGAAGCATGTATGCGACAGTCAGCCAAGGAACCATGAGCAGAGTCTCCTTATGATGTAGCTGATGCCTCAGAAATCTCCATGCAAAAAGGCTTTAGGCCAGAAAATGTTGTTGTTCTGGTGGACTCATGAAAGGAAGCGTGCTAAACGGAACACACTATGGGACATGCGGACCTGGCAGGACGGCAAACGAAACACTGACCAAATAACTAACAAACAATCATGTATATTCCACGTAAACATAATTAAACACATTTTCACTGATGAAAAACAGAAGTTATAGTTACACAGGAAAGCCAGGGCTTGTGAGGGAAGGTTGTCATGGTAACAGTGAACAGCATGTGAGAAGCTGGGAGGGGAAAATCCTGATTTTGCTAATAATACAAAGTATTCAATGCCATTACATGATATCACAGGTACACTTACATAATCACTGTCAGTACAAACAACATATAACAATAGTACAACAAGTAATCAGTTAATCAATTACGACCATAATACATGCACGCAATAAGCAAGCGAGGTCGTGAGAAAGGAGGAAATCCAATGTTGGATTCGTTATATCTTAACCAATCATGCTGAGGAAAGGGAGCAAAGATTATTGGACACAAAGTAACAACCTAAAGAATGTGCAGATCCAAAGAGTTTTATGCATAGGCAGTACTCACAGTGCACAGCGACCCTGAGGGGTGTTGATTTCACTGCTAGGGGAGGTTGTGGTCCTTCTGGTCCCAGGTCCAGTTCTGCCTCACAAATGTACTGTATTTTATCATCAGTTCTGTTAGTAGTTCTGTTGGCGGTGATCAGAATGGTGGAGGCCACACTCACTGGTGCCTTTTCTCTGTCAGACTTTCTGTCTTCTATGACATAGTCTCTGTCTCCATGTACTAATGTGTCCCCTTTGTACCACTTCACAGTGAGGTTCTGAACAGGAG